TGGCCTTGGATCAGCATGCTCTGTTGCTCGGATGAGATGAAGATCTTCATGAAACTTGTTCCAATGAATGTTGACTACAATATATCCAAATTTGAGCTCCATTGGACAAGTATAGCCTATCCAACGGATCCTACATGTTACAACAGCTCTAGAGATTTGTCTTGGGCCAGTTTTTACCACCATAGTGTCATATTGATTCTTCTTGTTATCATATTATTTGGTAACAAGAAATTACTTTGATTGAGTGTAATTATCTGAGTCAAATGGCATCTTTGTGAAGACAAAAATCCATCATGAGGAGAAGACAAGGAGACAAGGGCTTTAACAAAAGTTGGAAAGGAGGAGAGAGAGGAGCATAGAGAAGGAGTCAACCACAATTCAATCATAATTCATTTGGGTTGATTGTAGGAGAGTTGGGCAACGTATCATTGAGTTTTTGCAGAGATAGAGAGCAGGTTTTGAGAGCTTGAGAGCTAGAGGAGGAAGGCAAGGGCAACCAAGCAAGAAGTGAAGAAGATTTCCATCATTGAAGACCTTGAGCTTCCACCACTTTCACAAAATTTGTAAACTCTTTCTAGTTTTGTTTTGAATTTGTGTTTGGAAATAAGTATGAGTAGCTAAACTCCATAGCTAGGGCTTAGGTTGAAGCCCTAAACATGAATACCTTATTGTTTTGATGCTTGAGTGTATGAAATTCTAGATATTGTTGATGAATTCCAATTCACTAAATTAATCTATCCTTGATGTGTGTTTTTCCTTGGTTGATCATCTTTGAAAGCATGCTTCTTGAGATTGTTGGGATTATGTGTATCTTCATGTTTTCTTAAGCAATAAATGGATGAAGTAAGAATCATCCATGTGAATTGGTTTCTTGAGTACCTAATGCAAACATCATGTTATTAGGGTTCTTGTCATGTTCATATTCTCTTTGAACTTAATGGGTTTTTCTTGTAATTGAATCGAAGTACTAAGCACACCTAGATTTGGTTATAGGGAAGGCACAAGTATTGTAGCACTAGCCATGCACTCTACGTATATTAGAGAGAATCAATGCGTCTTGAACCACTAGCCCCGGTCTTGATTGTGAACATTTTCATCAACACATTTAGAGTTCATCACTTGAGTGTCCATGAACAAGGGTAGAATTGTTTAGGGTGGATTCCGAAACCCTAGTGTTTGTTACATTTGACTTTCACATCTTGATTTTCATCTTTGTCATTCTTGTTAAGTTTAGAGTTAATTTACATTCAAGCATTAGAGATAGGTCAGCAAAACCAAATCAAACCCCCGCCCCCCCCCAAAAAAAATGTGTGAGTGTGAGTGTGTTTGAAACGTAGTGTGTCTTCTTTACTGAATTTGGTATTTTTCGTAATTGTTTTTGACATTTGGCTCATGATGTGTTCTTCATTTTTCTGTGCTGAATCCAACCGTATAAATAACTTGAAATTTGGATAAATGGTTGGAAAGTTATAGGTCAAAAACTGGACAAAGGTCGAAACCGGAAAAACAAAGAAACGAATCTGTCTAAAAATGACCGGTTGCGTTTTATTTTTCACTGTTTCTGGAATTTGGTCCCCACTGACTTCTTTGTTTTTCTGTGCTGAATCCAACGGTATAAAGTGCGTTAAATTTGGATAAATGGTTAGAAAGTTATAGGCCAAACACTGGACAGAGGTCGAAACGTGAGTTTTGTGTGTTTATCTTTGGTTTCTTGTTGTGTTTTCTTTCTTTTACCGTTCTCTTCTCGTGTTTTAGTTCCCATTTTATATTTGTGCATTTGTGGTGTGTTAAATAAGTGTTCTTTACATACTCAATTTAAAACTTTTAGGAAGCCGACAATTCCTCGTGGGATTGACCCTGTACTTACATAATTTATACCTTAATAGATTCATGCACTTGCGGGTATTTTTAATTGGTTGTTTGCACATTTATTTGTGTCAATTACCGGCGGAAAGGGAAAATTGCTTTGCTGTGCTGCCTTACCGGCGGAAAGTGATCTTTTTGGAGAGCAACAAGCACTCTGTTGATGCAAGTGACAAATCAAGACGTGGTTTTCCATTTCGTTCTGTGGATCATCCCGGGGTAAAAGTGGTGAAACATAACTGCCTTCATTGCTCTAGTGGTTTCTTCCTTTCCTCAACCTATAAAGCTCTCCATGGAGCACACACACTCTTTGCTTTCGGATGAGACAGCCTTCTGTATATTGCAGTAATCGGCTACACTTTCTTACTGAAACTCATTCAATTTATATATGTGAATTACATAAAACCTACAATGAACCCAAGACCTCATCTCAAACAAGAAAAATAAATAAATAAAGAAGATATATAAATGGATTTAAGGTATGTCCTTGAAGCATGATTAGAAGCCCATAATAGTCAAGAAGCTCAGTGTGTGTAAAAGGAAAAAAAAAGTACATAAATAATATTGTATATGAAAAGAATAAAAAGCAAGTTCACTCGTAATACTGGATGTATGACTCTGAGAGAGAGAGAGAGAGAGAGAGAGAGAGAGTTTCTTCAGCACAATAACAGAGATAAATCCATCTGAACTATAAAGCATAAAAAAACATCCACTAAAGCAGCAAAGAAGTGCATTACCTGCTGACTATTACAACCACAAGGACACAAGATGTGGGAATATTGTGAATATTTTGTTAAAGTTTTTGAAAGAGAGAAAGCATCGAATCACTGTGGAAAATATCAAATTCAACGGCATCTCCCTATTGAAAATAGGAAAATTCATCACTCAAACTGTTGCAATCACACTTAAAATAATTGTTAACCACCCCATCTAATTACCTGCTGACTGTTACAACCACAAGGACACAAGATGTGGGAATATTGTGAATATTTTGTTAAAGTTTTTGAAAGAGAGAAAGCATCGAATCACTGTGGAAAATATCAAATTCAACGGCATCTCCCTATTGAAAATAGGAAAATTCATCACTCAAACTGTTGCAATCACACTTAAAATAATTGTTAACCACCCCATCTAATTACCTGCTGACTGTTACAACCACAAGGACACAAGATGTGGGAATATTGTGAATATTTTGTTAAAGTTTTTGAAAGAGAGAAAGCATCGAATCACTGTGGAAAATATCAAATTCAACGGCATCTCCCTATTGAAAATAGGAAAATTCATCACTCAAACTGTTGCAATCACACTTAAAATAATTGTTAACCACCCCATCTAATTACCTGCTGACTATTACAACCACAAGGACACAAGATGTGGGAATATTGTGAATATTTTGTTAAAGTTTTTGAAAGAGAGAAAGCATCGAATCACTGTGGAAAATATCAAATTCAACGGCATCTCCCTATTGAAAATAGGAAAATTCATCACTCAAACTGTTGCAATCACACTTAAAATAATTGTTAACCACCCCATCTAATTAGTTGACTAAAAGAATACATATATGATCAGAAACAGAGCTTCTAAATCACTAACCACCGAAGCATTCGGTGCTAGTTGCTAACTTCAAGTTTATTACTTTCCTTCCACCAGTAAAAAACCGAAAATTTTCTTACCAGCTGAACACAAAATGCAATTCAAGGGACAATTCTTTTACAGTATTAGCTGAATCAGTTCCTGCGCTCAACTAGGAAAATTCTTTTGAAGCTTATGGGTGCTCGATACAGCGTCTTTATTTAACTTGTTTTAATGGATTTCATAGGACAGAGGAGCAGAAAACAATGAGAGGATATAAAAGAACAACTGAATAAACAAATGGAAACAAAAACCTAACATTTTATAGATAATCGATGGATTAGAAATGAAAGTTGAAGACAGGGTTTAACAAAGCTGAAAAGGACCAAAAACACATAAACTAAAGCAAGCTCAACATTAGACTGACCTGTACTTGGCTCTTTCAATGGGATGCCAAAATGCACGCAACCGGTGAGCTTAACGACCTCATTGGCAAGTCGGGCCATGAGCTTTCTCAGCTCTATAGAAAACTTCTCAAAGCTCTTCGTCTGGGCCAGAGGAGGCTGATTAAGCTGTGGAGGACTTGGCTCATCAGAAGCAGGTGCAGGAGGAGGAGTAAATGCAACACAAGATTCTTCACTTGTTTCATCTGTCTCATCATTATGAAACATCATCTTGTTGATAGGTGGCATAGGTTGTTTAAGCTGATCCGTAGGATCAATTCGCACCTTAGACTCCATGGCAAACCTAGTGATCAATGACCCAAAAGGCAGGGAATGAGTGTCGTAGTAGTCGTCTGGGGTTGCAGCCAGGCAGATGGCTCGGAAAATGAAGGCGGGCAGATCAATGGACACATTATTATTCCCAATGGCATAAAGGATGCTTGCTCTATCAAAATCAATTGAGCTACTGTCAAGGAGACGATCTTCAGGGTCGATATTGTTGAGAGTTAAGCTGCATACTAGCCTCGAATCAAGCTGCAGATGTTAATCCTGCAGATTGATAGTGAAGAGGATGAAGAAAACGAAGGAGCTGAAGAACTTTCTTTTATAGTAATAGCCGTTATAGGTTATGTCCAACGGCTAGTTTTCTTACTATTTTGGGAAACTCTACAGCTGTCATTCTTAGCTGTCTTAGTCCTATCTCCTGAAACGATTCCTAGCCTAGGTGTAAGAATCGTAGCCTCCAATGACCTTGAATGGCTGGAGATGAATCCTTGTGTCCTAGATTTTTTAGGATCTGTTTTTTGACAGAATGAGTCATGCATATAGTCTGTGTTTTTGGCTCTGATGCAATACAATGAAAATATACTGAAACTTCATTATTCTCTCTGAGTTTTTCATTTTCTCCTCTGCATACGTTTTGTGAAAAGGTTTTGTTTTTTCTTTCTGAAAATCAATCAGTGTAACCAGAAAGCTATAGGCAAATTCTAACATGGTATCAGAGCTCTTGGTCTAATTTCATAGGAGGGGCGTGAGCTGTGAGAAAGGGGGCTTTTTCCTGAAATCTCTAAAAGGGATAAAGGTTGCTCTTTTATTGTGTGGTTCACTGAGACTCACATAAAAATGGTGGGATCAGGTTCTGCAGGTGGAGATTTACGAACTCCACAGTTTAATGGTGCAAACTATGATTTTTGGTCAGTAAAAATGGAGACTATTCTCATAGCATATGATCTATGGGATGCAGTGGAGCTTGGAGTACATCCACAGCCGATTCTTGAGGAGGAAGAAGAAGAAGGCTTGGAAGGAGAAGAAGGCTTTGAAGGAGAAGAAGGTGAGACTGTGCAAATCCCAGTGGAAGCACCTACTATCTCCAAAGAAGATAAGATCAAAAATGCCAAGGCTTTGAGTCTTATTCAAGGAGCACTAACTGATGAACTCTTTCCTCGCATCAGAAATGAGAAGACTGCAAAAGGTGCTTGGGAAATTCTGAGAAGAGAGTTCAGAGGAGATAAAAAGGTAATAGCTGTGAAATTACAAGCTATTAGAGCTGATTTTGAATATTTGAGAATGAATGATGTTGAATCTCTGGATGACTACTTGGCTCGATTTTTTGGAATTGTAAACAACTTGAAATCTCTAGGAGAAGATGTAACAGAGAAAAGGATTGTCCAAAAATTATTGATGAGTCTAAGTAGGAGGTACAAGTCCATAGTGTCAATCATTGAAGAAACCAGAGACCTTGAAACTATTAGAGTTGAAGAAATTCTTGCATCTGTCAAAGTTTATGATAAGAGAGAGGATTTGCATGATGAAAGGGATAAGTTGGCAGGAACTGAGAAAGCTTTTAGCAGTCTCAGAGTTGGAAATAATCAAGCTTCTGGAGCTAACAAAAGTTCTCAAGGAAAGCAAAATCAAAAATGGCAAGGACAAAACAAAAAGGGCTCGAATTGGTCTCAAGGTGGAAACTCAAATTGGAATAATGGCTCTGAAGGGAATTGGAACAACAGTTTCAATTCACAAAACAAATCAAAAGGAAGTAGCAGTCAAGGTGGTGTGAAACCACAGTGCCAAGTGTGCCAGAAATACCATTTTGGTATATGCAGATATAAAGGAAAACCCAAGTGTGGGAAGTGCAGTCGATTTGGCCATTTAACTAAGGACTGTGAAAGTGGTAAACAAGTTGCAAACTATGCAAAGGAAGAAGAGGTAACCAAAGGAACAATGTTCTATGCTTGTCATGCAAGTTCAATTGCATCAAGCAAGTCTGTGTGGTTTGTTGACAGTGCATGCAGCAACCACATGACCTCTCAACAGTCTTTATTGATCTATCTTGATATGTCAGTGACCTGCAAAGTGAAAATGGGCACTGGTGATCTTGTTCAAGCCGTAGGAAAAGGGACACTTGTAGTTGAGACAAGAAAAGGGAGAAGATACATAAATGAAGTGCTGCTGGTCCCTGGTCTGAATGAGAATTTGTTGAGTATAGGACAAATGCTGGAGCATGGGTACTACCATCCAAAAACAAGTAACCTTCACCAACCATAAAAGTTCACCAACCAAAAATTAAGGCATTCACCAACCAGAAATAAAACATGAATATTAAATATTTATAACCCCCACAATAAATCAAATAAAACAGCCAAAATAATTAATTAAATAAAACGGTTAAATTTTTAAAACCTTTTAAAATTCCAACAGGGCAAAAGACGACCAGTAAACAACGTCGGTAGATCAAAAAACCGTCGTTGTTTTTTAAAAGACGACGGTAATAGAAACCCGTCGTAGAAACATACTTTAAACACCTAAAAAATGGCACACGTATAGATATTTTGAAACCACGACGCACCAAATTAAAAAAGCGTCGTTTTATTACAAAGGTATTTTCAGAGTTAAAATCTGAACCTAAAAACAACGACTGCATCTATGAAATCACCGCCGTAGAAAGTAAAGACGACGATATAGAAATAAGACGCCGTGTTAATTAATTAATAAACATGACCCAATTTTCTTAGTCAGCGACGCATAAATTCTAAGGAATCTACGACGGTTAATTACAAAAAAAAACGCCGCTTTAAATTAAGTTAGCACGACTGTAAATATAAATTTATCGACTTTTTAATTATAATATACTATGACGGTATCCATAACTCTACTGTCGCATAATTGTACTAACCACGACGGTTTGTTAAATTAACGACGTACAAATTTTATGCCATTATTCGTCTATCATTACCAGAATGAACTCAGAATGAACTCTGTTCCTCATCATAATCGAACCATTATTCGTTTTTTACCATTTTTCCTCATCATAATCGAACCAGAATGAACAAAGGCAATGTTTTAGAAGTGGATGATGTGCCGATTACTCTCACAAGGAGTTTGAGGGCAAGAAGCTTGTCTCAGCCGCCAAGTAAGGTCTCAAGCTTGATGAGAGTGAAGACGAGGCAAAGAAGAAGGAAGAGTTGAAGGAGAAGTTTGAGGGACTCTGCAAGGTTGTGAAGGATGTTTTGGGTGACAGAGTGGAGAAGGTTGTGGTGTCTGACCGTCTGACCGTGCTGGACTGCCAACATTGAAAGAATCATGAAGGCTCAGGCCTTGAGGGATAACAGAGCGGTTGGGTACATGTCGAGCAAGAAGACCATGGAGATCAACCCAGAGAACCCCGTCATGGAGGAGCTGAGAAAGAGGGCTGATGCAGACCTTGTTCTCCTTCTGTGCAGAAAGACAATTTTTTAGATGCTGTGTGCGTGTTTGTGTCTTTCAGATACACAAACGCGCACACACATCAACATCCAAACTAAAAAATGAAAGCGAGGTGAGACAGAGAGGTGATGTGCCTCCAGAGAGGTGAGAAAAAGTTGAAACCCTAATTGAAAAATGAAGACGACAGAAAGACAGAAAACCCATTATTTATAAACAAATCTTATATACCACGTCGGTTTTTTTTAATTATCGACGTTTATATGATAACATAAACATTGTTTAAAATTAAGGAAAGGTCATATAAATAAATTAACAACGACGCTATATAAAAACGACGTTGTAATTTTTTGGAAAATTAATTTATTGTGTAATTAAAAAACTGACACGTCAGTATGAGTAATTAAAACGACGTGGTATTAATTTTTCACGTCGTTATTATTGAATATAAGGTCGTTGGGTAAATTGGAAAATGACGATTCATCTTTTTGAAGAAAAATGCGTCGTGTAATTCGATTTAA